ATATGAAATTTTCTACTCTGCCTGTTGGAAACAATTTCTATTCCCAAAATATGTGTCCTTTAGGCACTATTTCTTCAAATTCTATTGGTTGGTTATCTCCTCAGCCTTAGGTAATTTCATCACATACATGGCTGACTAATAGTCAGCTGCATCTTTGAGGGAAATACACTGCAGAGTGTTCACACTCTCTGTAGCTGTCTCTTCTATAGTATTTTGATCGGTGAACTCTGGTCACCCTGGCTTTGCCAGACTTTCATCTCCTTCTTTTCAACTCAGCAAATCCACTTGGTTGTATCTCAGTTTCCTCCACCTCTTCTTTCTTTGCTGTGGCTTGGAAATATCCAGGCAGTAAGCTCAAAAAATTATATAACTCATGTCATTTGCTGCTCAGTAAAGAAAATTTGTTGTTCTAATTCTAATCAAAAGTAAATAATTACTGAAAAAGCCACATTAGCTTTACGAATTTTCCCCTATTGATGTCACTGGATTTAACTTGCATTATGATACAGTTCTTCAACCATTGTAAATATGGTAAACATCGTAAGTAATCCAATTTTATGCTTGTTTACACGTTTTTGAAGATACTGTATTTTTATACTTTTTATCTTTTCCTCATTATATGGTAATCTCTGAAATATTTTAAAAGAATAATAGTTTTATTATTGGTACACACAATTATTCAAACTCATAACACAAATAAAATTGCTTTAGTACCTAGATTGTCATTATTTTAATTGAATGGAAATAGTTTTTAAAAAGATTTTTCCCATTTAAAAAAATTAATACTGTTGTATTTCTGTTTTGTACTATCAATTTGCTAATTAAATTATTTAACTGATAAAATGCAAAAGTTACATGGGTGCAGCTCCTTTCAAAGTATAATTGGAAGAAGTATAAATAGTATTTCCTGTTATTAATATCTGAATTTATTAGGGAGAAAAAGCTCTCATGATTATTCAAGTATGGAATGTGAAATTTTACTGGGAATAAAACAATAATTTGGTTAAAAGAGAACAGCCTCATGATGAATTGCTGTATAAAAACATGGAGGGGTGATAGGAAATAAGAATTCTTTTATGTTAGTGAAAACTACTTAGGACACACAGTTTTCTGTTATATGTTCCACAACATACAATTTTATTTCCAGAGCCAACCTAGGAAAGGGAACTGATCCTTGGGAAGCAGATGGAGCAGCAGAAGCTGCTGGAGGCAGTCAATGAGCCTCATGGAGTCAGCACCATCTGAGGCTGGGTCACCATCCAGCACAGCACAGTGCACTCCTGACACTTGAGGGGTGACCAGTGCCTGGAGGTCAGCTCAGGTCAAGCACTGTCTAGACATGTACTACCACCACCAACTAAGAAAGATCCTGAATAAGGAGAGGTGCTGGCTCCACAGAGCCAAACACCAAAACAATATCCTTATACAAAATCCAATACAAAGAGCAAAAATCTTTTTTTTTCTTTTGAGACAGTCTCATTATGTTGCCTTTGGTAGAGTGTGTGACATCAGACTCACAACAACCTCAAACTCTTGGGCTTAAGTAATTCTCTTGCCTCAGCCTCCCAAGTAGCTGGGACTATAGGTGTCCTCCACAACGCCTGGCTACAAACAGCAAAAATCTTTTAATATTTTCTGTAAATTCATTTGATTAGTGATACCTAGATGGAATAATGTAAAAGTATAAACCAACAGTTGTGTTATAGTTGTTTTCTAGCAACTTTTTGCCATTGTTGCTAATGTCCCCTCACCCCTTACCTGTGATAGGTATAAGATCTCATACAAAACTTTGGTGACTAACTCTTTAAAAGATATTCAACAAGTGATCCTGCTTGAATATTTTCACTACTATACTCTGCTTCTCCTTGATTTTATGACCTGTTGGATTCAACACCAACTCTGACTCCTGTAGGCATCATCTGCAGTGAAGGGCTTTGATCAGTGTGAAGGGGATTTAGGGTTCCAGACCACTAAACCACAGGGCTGAGCATGGGTCTATATTCCCAGACTTACTCTAGGATGTGCCTTTCTGTATTGGTGGCCTCAATGGCAGGAAGTCATAGTTTTCTCTGCTTCTGGGATTGACATAAGATATTTACCTTTAAAGGTGAAGGATTTAAGCAGGACTTAAAAACTCAAATAAACATCATAAAAGGTCACTTGATCACATTTTAAAGCTGTGAGATTGTGAGTTTCTTATAAAAAATATAAACAAAACTCACATCTCTTCCTTGAGGAGAAAGACACTTCAATCTTTCAGCTTTATGTCAAGAAGGAATTCTTTTCTTCAAGTTGTAAGTCATCTTGAATTTAAAATATTTACTCAAAGGCAGAATTTCTTGAAAGCCTAACTGATATTATTTTCACTTTTCTTTTTAGCATGACATGAGCTCAAATCTTCAAAATGCTGTAGATGATTTTAAGATACAATATAAATAAATCTAAATGTAAATAATTAAACTAGTTTGGAGCCTTTCCAGATAGAATGAGTAGATGGCAAGATGAATGAATCAGTTTTTATAAAAAATTGATTTGGCCATCATATTCAGTGATGATGAGCAGACTCACAGTACTCAGGTCATTTACCAGGAGGGATGAGAGCTGAATGGCCTTATTGAATAGTGGGTTTACAGAGTATTATGAACTTCCCACAGTCCTCCTGCTAACTGTTTCTAGCCTGGGATTTAGGCGCCCAACCCCATCTCATGCCTTCCTGGTTTATCCTCCAGCTGTACTAATTCTTTCTAAATTCCTTAAATGTGCCACGGACTTTCTAATACTATTAACCTGCCAGAAACCTTCCATACTAGTTCCTCTTTTTTTTTCACCCAACTATGCTGATTCCTCCTTTAAGTTTCACCTGTGATACCACTTTCTTAATGAAACTGTTTCTAATTCTCCTTTCCACTATACACACATCGACACATCACACTAAATTAATTCCCAAGCCTTCCCTCTCTATTGTTTTTCTTTAGCCTCACCGAGTTTGTAAGTCTTGCTTAGTGTCTGTTTCTGCCACAAGTCTGTAAGACCGTGGAGGCAGGGCATAGGTTGTCTTATGTCATTCTCAGGTGAATTCATAGCAGAGTATCTGGCAAACTGCGGCTGTTAGGTAAGTGTATAAGGAAGACAGGAAGGAAGGAAAAAAGGAGGAAAGATGGGAAGAAAGACGGAAAAGAAGGAAGGAAGGGAGGGAGGGAGAGGAGAAGGGAAGGAAGGGAGGGAGGGAGAGAAGAAGGGAAGGAAGGAAGGGAGGGAGGGAGAGAAGAAGGGAAGGAAGGAAGGGAGGGAGAAGAGATTCATGCAATTTTTTACCTCTATCCTTGTAGATTATAGGCCTATAGATCTTCTTTGTCTGGTCGTTAAATTATACTTTACTTCAAAGTTCCTTTAATTGTGGACCAGTTAAGTCAGCTATACCTTTTACAACCCGTAAAACACAGCTTATGAGAAGTTCACTGGGAAGGTGCTAGAGAGGACCTACACTGATTAGCTCATCTAAGTGCAAAACACATTTATCCCAATTGATCTGCGGTAACAAAAGATGAGCTGTGTCAGTCACATGTGTTTGGCCCAGTTCCCTTCTCTGCAAGAAGCAAGCAATAAAACACTTCCTTTGGCAGAGACCAGGTAGTTATGTTCCACCAACTGCAGGGCACCACTCTGTGTGAAGACAGTAAATCCACCCTCCCATCAAGACTGTTTTGCCATTCCCCTCAGCTTGACTAAACTTTAGACAGGCTTTTTTGTTTCTTTTTTCCTGAGTTAAATAGCATTGAATTTAGGAAGCCTAAATTTGTAAATTCTTTCTCTGCCCCTTTGAGATGTAAATCTCCTGCCTCTGGGTTTTCTTTCTCTAAGACTTGAGAGCCGCACATTTGAGTTGTAATTATCAAATGACTGTCCAACCCTTACGGCCCAGTGTCTGAGCAAGGGTAGTAACCTAACTCAGATAAATGACAATAGGCAAACATGGGGGGAGCCTGAATCAATTGACAGATCTCCACCTGGTGGACGTCCAGCACTTTCCCACTTGCCCACCTCAGCTCTTAAAATCCCTTCATCTTTTGTCTCAGCAGAGTTGGGTTCAGTGTCTTTCATTCATTGTGATAGTCTTTTAAAAAGCCTTCCCTGTCTGTTTAACTCAGTCTGACGCATTTTGTCTTTGACACTCTCTTAGACCTTGTAGGTACATCTGAATTAAATTGGATCCACATCATTCCTGGTGAATATGAATGTCCTAGAATGTGTTAAAATTTTTAAAATTCTGCCCCACTTGATAAAATGTCAGTCAACTCTCTTTTAGTAAAAAGTGGGACTCTTTTATACACTTAGAAGTGAAATTGTTTTCCTTTAATGCTGTTATTTTGAAATGGCATTAGAAAAAACAGCATCTGGTCACTTCTATGGGAAGTGGTTTAAATAATGTCCCAGAAGCAAAAAACTCCTGGGTTGGTTGGTATGTGTCAGAGCTAAATCAAGTTTCTAAGCCAAATGATGCAGGTACATGTAATGGTCTTACTGGCAAGTTAAACCTTTCAGATCTCTTATTGTGAGCTTTGAGGTGCCTGGATTTTATTTCCTTCTGGTTTGGACAGATTTTGTAGTTTAATAGTAAAGAGACTACTAGACTTGGGAGACAGACCACCTGATCCCACCAGGATTTCAGCTAATTGCTGGACATCTTCCCTCTCAGCAAATGTGAACAATATAGAATCTGATGACTAATGAATACTCACGTGAACCTCAGTTGTGACTGTGTTACTGTTATCATCTTCATTATCACTTTCACAGCGGTGAAAATCAAACAATTGGGATGCTATACTTTCACAACTTTCTACTCTCCACCAAAAAACAATAAAAAATCATTCATGGGTATTAATTCTGGCTAGAAATTGACTTTGGCCTTTGCTGGATTGCTTCATTCATACATAACTCTGAGCTCTATTTGTGAGATGTTTGTCTTTCTCTCTCCCTCCCCTGTTCCCTGCATTTTCCAGTGATGGATGGGCAGACAGAGATGAAGTCATTGAAGGTTATGAGGTGGAAGCCAACGGGGGAATCACGATAAAGCTGCAGTCTCCAGAGGTCAGATCATTTGATGATTATTTCCTGAAACTGAGGCTGGACACTAATACAAGGAATCCATGGTTCCCTGAGTTCTGGCAACATCGGTTCCAGTGCCGCCTACCAGGACACGTTCTGGAAAACCCCAACTTTAAAAGAATCTGCACAGGTAACTCATGTTCACAAAATAACAACTCAGAGGTTTGGTCATCTCTTCTGGGGCATTGAAGCTTATTGAATGAGAGAAGGTGCCATGCCAGGGACAGAGACCTATCTTAGCCTGTGAAATAGCCAGCGTGAGCTAGAAGTCTGGAATACTCTAACGATTCATGGAAATTTGAAAAGGCTGCTTTGGTCTCTGGTGGAGCAAGTGACAAGGAAAAGTATATTGAGAAGTCAGGTGTCGAGTATTTGTGCCGGAGAGATGAGATTTTGTTGCAGATGTGCTTAGGAGATCTTAGCCTTAGCCACAGGCATAAGTAAGCAGCTCTGGTTAGATCTTCCTCTCTATTTTTTCTATGTGACTTGCTTTGAAAACATGTTAGGAGAAGATAAGGCCTTCTTCTTCTAGGCCATCGCACCAGTATGGGTGTTTGTGGGTACAGGGCCAAGAAACTGCACTTTCATCTATAAACCAGAGTTATAGCTCCCAGTTGGACAAACTCCACACATTTCTCACTGACGCCACGTTAGGAAAGTGCAGCACGTTGTTTTAAGTCATTAAGGGGCCTGTTGAACACCACAGCATGTCATTCCCTCCCTTTCCCCAAGTAACTTCCATAACTCAGACTTCTTAATTATGCAACTTTTATGAGCATTGTTATTATTACTACCTAAGGACTTGCTGTTACCTGTCTTTTTACAATATTGTCTATGCTGCAATGATAGATCATTTTGCCTATCACAGTGCCATGCAGAGCCAGTTGTTAATGTTGAGTTGACCATTCAATGTAATGGACTAGTAGTGACAATGGTGACATGGTCAATGACCCACGATGTCACTTGCATTGCAGAAGAGTAGCGTGACCCATATTTCCTGTATTGAGGCTGAGCATGTATTGTTTAGAAAGGTCTTAAATCCATTCCCCCCTAGTGCATGCATGTGTAAAACACTGTAGATAGCACCCAAAGGGACAGAGAAGCTAGAATCCATGACTCGACCTAGAGGAGATTGTGGTCTCTTAGGCTGGATCAAAACAGGTAGATAATAATGGAGGGCAATGAGTCAGGAGTTTTACAAGAGAGGATGAATATGGATCATTACAGAACATCTCTCCATTTTCAGTAATATTCACATTTTGATGTTAGAAATGCTTTAAGATAGCAATCTATTTAAGTGCAACAATATACATCTGACTGGGGAAAGTTCAGTATAGTTCACTGGGAAATCGCCTGGTGGGAATCTATTTTTAATGAGCTTTTTAGAGCATCCTCAGTGTAGCTTCTAGGGTGACTGAGAAATATCATCAAGCTGGGGAGACAGAAGAAAGGGGAGACACGTGCTAAATATTTAACCCACCTCTGCCACATAGGAATTTCTTCTGACCAATGGATCAACCAGGGCAGTCTCCTTATTTCCAAAATAGAGATGGTGGGATTGAACTCAGGCAATAGTTTCCCAGGTTCCAACAGAATTAGAACCCACACTTCCTAAACAGTACATCGCTTAACTAACCTTTAGATTTAGTGTTTAGTAGTATAGTATCTCTTATTGTTCTCTAGTTGTTTCCTAAGAAGTGTTGTTTTTTTCCTAAATTGTAAGGTCTTTGAAGACAAAGCATGCTTGCTTCCTTCATAGAACCCCATACAACATTGATTTCTGGGGTTTCAGTCAATTCTTGTTAGCTAATTGATCGATTGATACACATATTCTTTTCGTATAGGAAGTATTTTTTGAGAAAAGCTAAGGATTACTATTTAAAAAATGAAATATACTTCTTACATTCAATAATTATTTATTAGGCACCTACTATGTATAATGTTTCCTTCTAGGAGAGGAAATAAACGCATGAAAAAGGCTTTGTTCTCAATGGCTTTACATTTCAGTGCAGAGAAATAGAGAAAGTAAAATAAGGAATGGGGGTAGGGAATGATATGATGGAGGATTGGCGATTTTAAAAATGATGTCCAGGGAAGGCTCACCAAGAAGACAATTAAAGATTGAAGGTGGTGATTAAAGAAGAGATTTCCAAGCAGAGAGCTTTTCTCAACATGGAAAGAGGCACAAATATGCATGACTTAGAGGGAGAAAGCAAGGAGGCTGGGGTGGCTGGGGCCAGTGAATTGGTAGAGGAAGGAGACAAGTCAGACAGGCACCCAGAAAACAGGCTATCTTATACCTGAGTGTCCACTGTGAGAACCTAGGGTTTGTTCTGAGTGAGATGGGAAGCCACATGGACAGTGGAGCACAGCAGAGATGCGATCTTACTTTTTCTGAACAAAATCACTCTTGTTGCAGTATTTAAGTACTGACAGAAGGCAGAAGAGCCCAAGGAGGAGGAGCAGTGAGGAGCTCACTGTGATTGGGCTGTGGCCATGACAAGCAAGGTGGAAAGAAGTTGTTCAGTGCCTAGGGCATTTTGAATGAAAGCTGAGGGGACTTGCTGATAAAACTGTCAAGCATGACTATGGTCTGAGCAACTGGAAAGATAGTGTCATCATTGACTGAGGCAGGGAAAGACTTCAGGAAAAGCAGATCAGGGAAGCACCAGGAGGTTGATTTGAGATGGCTGTTAGTAGTCCAGCTGGAGATGTGGCTTTGTCATTGTGTGCTATTGGTCAAATTCAGGATACTACTTATTACACAGGCTTGGATGTTGTAGGAAAACATTTGGTGACTTAAGTTCTCAAAACAAGTTAAAACCCTGCAACCATGGACACTAATATTTTGGGTTTTCGGTTGTCAAGGTTAAAGCTTGAACTTGTCTACCATTCACAGCAGGAAATGCAAATTTGCAAATTCATAAATTGTCCTTACATTGTACTTGAATCTCAAAACTATTTTTAAGAGCTTCTTATTTGATTACAATCTTTAATAAACATGTTTCTCTTTGCATTTTATTCTGGAATTAAGCTCAGCCAATATTTCTCTTTTTTCTTAGTTCTAAGGAAGGCAGAAGACTTATTTAACTTTTCTATTTGGGACTAATTCATAAAATTTATTGATTATTTTCCCTCCTATAGAAATACTAGAATTTCACCTTTAGTAGCATTTATATTATCTCTGTGTATTTACAATCATGTAAATTTACTTTGCTCTTTAGTTTTTATCACTGTATTTCTGTGAAGTTGGCTTCAATGTTACTGAAAAACAATGTACATTCACTTCATGGATTACTCTTATCCTTTTGTGATACTTGAATATCAAATGAATTCCATAGTCTTCTAATAAATATGCAGGCACAGTTATGAAAATTAGTGTGAGGAAGTAGAATTAATCTTTCTAAATTGTTGATAGCTACTTTTTCTGTCACTCTTTTTTATCTTTCTTAATTGGGTCACTTCTGGTGGTTTGGGAAGTTTTGATATTGCTGTTAGTTTCCATAGAAACCCTTACTGAGCTTAGTCTCAGATGTCACTGTTTAAATAAAGAGTTTATTTATACTACAATGCCAGTTTGAATATTAAAGGTCCTGAACCCAGGCTGAATAGTTTGGGAATCACTATGGCTAATTAAAAAGTACTTCATGTAAAGTCCATACTACTGCTTAATTAGTTGGGTATATCATGGGATTAGAGTCTTATTGGAAAAGAACCAACTAAAACATCAAAGCCTAACTTCTGAAAAATTAATCTCTGTAGGACAGCGGAAAGAGAGGTGCAAAGCCAATCAAAGTTGCTCTCTTCCAGTAAATGTCTTAGCCACTTAAAAAATTGTATCATGTTTGCAATGGTATTGTGATTCCTGATGGGATCATTAGCAATATCCTGTGAATCTGATAGAATATAACATATGGAAACACAATCACTGGGTCCAGTATTGGTTCAGATCTGCTGCATGACTTGGACGGCTTCACTTAACTCTGAGTCCCAGGTTCTGCCTCTGTACCATGGTAGCAATGTCTACCTCACTCAGAACTCTTTGTAAATTGAATGAAATAACACACGTGAACAACTTTGCAATTAACTAACATAAGTGAACTACTTTGCTAGCTGCAAATACTTGAAGGGTAAAATGTTATTTCCTAGTGTCATGTCTTTCTTCCCAAAGCACAAGGTATGACATATATCATCTCATAACAATTACAGTTTTTGAAATTACAAATTTAACATAGCTACATTTCAGGATATAGAAACTAGACAAAGACAAAATAAGCACACGGCCCTTAATCAATCATTTTCACAGGGCATCAATAGAGATATTGTCTCATTTTTTTCCTATGTAGGTTTTTGTATTGTTTTAGGTTATGAAAGTAAAGCATGCTTACTAAACTTATTGTATGCACTTGGAAATACAGAAAAACATGAGACAGTTGAAGAGGATTCAGGATTTAACCTCTGTCAGTTACTCTTAAATTTTTGGTGCATTTTCATCTTTCTCTACATAATTTTAAATTGTGGAGTCAATATTATTTTATATATTGCTTTTAAAAATAAATTCTGATTTTTTCCATAAACTGACTAATACATTTCTCATTGTCATTAAGTATTTTCATTCTTAATGGCTTCCTACCATTCTGCATGCAGATAAGCTACAGTTTATTTAACTATTTAATTCTTCCTACACGTTTAGGCTATTTTTGGTTCTGCACAAATTTCACCAAATGCTGTAGTGATGTAACAATAATTCTTTGTAAATCTTCTTTATTTTTTTTTCATTTTGGATAATTTTCTTAAGTTATCTTTCCAGAAGGTAAATTACATTTCTAAAAGTTCAATCAAAAGATATGAACATTTTTAAAGACTTTTGAAAAGAAAGTGTTCCGAAAGTCACCTCCTACTAGCAGTCATGAAACCCTATGCATTTTTTCTGTTTCATTTTGCATAGTTATAATAATAGTGTGCATGTAACTCTGTATCTTATTCCACCTAGGATTATGCTTTACATATTTTTGATGTTGCTGCATGGCCTTGATAATCCTCTTTTAATAGCTCCATAATATTCTATCGCAGTAAAACACTGTAATGACTTAGCCATTCTTATGTTGTCGGACGTTTAGCCTGCTTTCA